CTGTCTAGTGCAGTCATGTGATAACCATCGAAGGAAAGTGCTCTCTGGGCTGTCTCACCCTTGCCCAGACACTGCAGGACAGACTCCAGCCTCCAGGGGGGAGCTGAGAATCCTCTGTGAAAATAACTTTTCAGATATCAGGTTTTTGGTTTGGTTTGGTTCAGCTTCCATGAAAACAACCCAAGAAACAGAATGTGGGATTTTCCTCTTAACAGCAAATGGCCACAACACAGAAGTTTCTGATGTATGTGACATGGCTGTCCTGTCCAGGCACCAGCTCTGGGTATACACACTCAAGCACCAGCGTCACTCCAAGGAATCTTTATTCAGTAGCATGTTAAGGCTCTGAAGGCACAGCTCACGGTAGGTGCTAGCCTAGCAGCACACCAGGGCCTTAGTTTTGAAACCCAGGACTACCGCAAAACAGAAAGGAAAAAAACAACAGACTGAGGCCCCACTTTAATCCCAACACACAGGAGGCAGAGGCAGGCAGGGCTGTGAGTTCAAGAACAGCCTGGTCTATGTAGCAGGTAGGAAAGTTCCAGGCTAGCTAGTCTTGAAAGAATAAATAAACCAGAAAACAAACTGCTGTGGTTCTGAGGTAACATGAAACTAGCCTTAACCTAGGCCATCCTCTGGCTCTACACAGGGCCACTGCTTGCTTGAGCTTCTGTCCATTTTGTTTAAAAATTGTTCAATCCAAATCAGAATCAAGTCTCTGCCCTGGATGCCGGGACCTGATGGCCAACAAGACGAACAAACCAGGTAGCCTAGGTCTAAGCGAGATACATCTAGATCTTCAAGGAAAACTGGTCAGGGAGGTCCCATGACACAGGGAGCTTCCAGTTCACAGGACAGAATGAGGCCCTGAGGTAGGCTGGGTGTGAGCTCTCAGGGTGCTCATGCAGGAAGGGCAGGCTGCACTTGTCCACCCAGGGCTCTTAGCTGCAGCGGACAGCGTGGCAGGATGTTTCAAGGAGCACCTGATGGGTTGACGTCCTTCCAATTTTTGATAAAGTCAGGATATGTACGCATGTTACATTTGCACACACTGTGCTCTAAGAATTCTTGCCTTTGTGTGTGTGTATGTGTGTGAGCGCGTGTGCACGCATGCACCACAGGGCTCGTGTGGAGGCCAGAGGGCAGCTCTCAGGAGTTTCTGACGTTTCCCCACCATGTTGGGAACTGGGGATCAGACTGAGTCGCCAGCCTTGGTGATGTGATGAGCACTCTGACCCACTGAGCTTTCTCACTGGCTCACTGCATACTTGAGGCTCACTTGGAAATATGTAGCCCCGGGTACCCATCAACTAACTCTCAATCCTCCTGCCTCGACCTCCTGAGTGCTGCAGTTACAAGGGTCAGCAGCTATGACAGACTTCAACTTAGACATGCACACAAATATACATAACACATACATTTATGTCACACTTATTTGCTTTGTGTGTGCACACATGCCATAGCACACATGAGGAGGTGAAGAGCAGAGTTCAGGGATGAATTCTCTCCTCCTACCATGTGTGTCCTGGGAACAGAAAAGCTCAGGCTGTCAGACTTGGTGGCAAGAGCCCTTATCAGCTGAGCCATCTTACTGGCCCAAAGTCTTATTTTTTAAAACTACAAATCTGAAGCCAGGTGTTGGTGGTGCACACCTTTAGTCCCAGCACTGAGGAGGCAGAGGCAGGTGGATCTCTGTGAGTTCGAGGCCAGCCTAGTATGCAGAGTGAGTTCCATGACAAGTTCCAAAGCTATACAGAAACCTTGTCTCGAAAAACCAAAACCAAACAAAAAACTACAAATCTGCCAGGAGTGGTGGTATAAGTCCTTAATCTCAGCACCCAGGAAACAGAGGCAAAGTGAATCTCTGTGAGTTTGAAGCCAGCCTGGTCTACAGGCTGAGGTCCAAAAGAGCCAAAACTATACAGAGAAACTGTCTTGGAGAAGCGAGGCGGAGCCGACTGTCTTTCTCTCTCTCTCTCTCTCTCTCTCTCTCTCTCTCTCTCTCTCTCTCTCACACACACACACACACACACACCCCTAACAACAACAAAGCCCAATAAATTATTTAAAATTCTGTACTTAGCCTGCGCATGCGTGTGCATGTGTGTGTGTATGAGTGGGGGACTGTCGGATAATGGCACAGAATGGAGTTCAAAGGACTTGGTTCTCTCTTTCTACCTGTGAGTCCCAAGGACTGAATACAGGACATCACACTTAGTGGCAATCGCCTTCTCCACTGAGGCATCTTGCTGGCCCCCTACATCAAACTCTAAGGGTTTTAATCTTACTTGATATTCTACTTTTACCACATAGAAAACCTTTATCCACATATAAACAAACACTAACCCTTGACACCCACAAAGCTGGCTGTGATGGCACATGCCAGTAACTCAGTACTCAGAAGGCTGGGGGGAGGACTAAGCCACAACTGAGGACAACCTGAGCTACAGCACCGGATATACAATGAGTCTCAAAACAAAAGGCAAATGAAAAGGAAGACAAACCCAATGAACAGATGTAAAAGAATGAAATGAAATTCCAATAACCACAGTGACAGCAAGATTGAGACTCGACAAAGGAGGACTCCAACAACACGCAGTGCGGAGAGGGGGTTCACGGGTAACGCTGAGGCAGAACTGATGTAAGTTAAGGCCAGCCTGGGCTACAGAGGAAGACCCTGTCTCAAAGACAGAGAACAAGGGGAGGGGACACGATTCAACTGGTAAGGGTGTTTGCTGCCAAGCCTGTCTCTGTCTGTGCCTCTGTCTCCTATAAATGCCCAGAACCCACTTGGTGCAAAAAATAATTCCCATGTTGTCCTCGATCTTCACAAGCATGCTGTGGCATGCACGTCTCTCTCCCCTCACAAAACAAATAAGTGTAAAAAATGTATACGCTTACACATATAACTGATAATAAGAGAGGGTTTAAATCAAATGTCTTGCCTCCTCTGCCTGCCCACGTGTCACACTCCACCGTTCCCTAGGTCTGGCTTGCTCCCCAGTCCTGCTACGCTTACTGCTTTTCTGTTGCTCTGTCTGTTGGAAATAGGGTCTTGTTATGGAGCCCAGGCTAGCCTCAAACTCACAGTACTCTGCCTGCCTTGGGCTCTTGTGCTGACATTTCAGGCATGAGCCACCAAGTACATCTGTCACGTTTCTGGTATACAGATCCCTTGATTCCCACCCTCAACCCCAGACTGTCATTTCTGATGTGCATGGTGTGATCGATTCTGAAGCCCGCTGAGATAATTTGATAAGCCTAGGACCAAACTCATTCTTTTCCCTGCAATCCCACCTCTCTGTCGGATTCTGACAAAGCACTGGTTAACGAGCTCAAAACCACAGTTGTGTTCTGTCTGCTGCACGCTTGCTCCAGCCAGTTACCGGGCTCACCTCTCTGCCACCTGCTCCTGGCTCTGTACTCACTGACTCTTTTTATGTATTTGTTTGTTTTTCAAGACAGGTTTCTCTGTATTGCTTTGGAGCATGACCTGGAACTAGCTCTGTATACCAGGCTGGCCTTGAACTCAGAGATCCGCCTGCCTCGGCCTCCCGAGTGCTGGGATTAAAGGCATGAGGCATCAACGCCAGGCCCCACACTGATTCTTGCAAGCAGACACAGGGGCCTCTTGTACTCGGTCTCTGCCCACAGCTTACTGGCTGTGCAGCCTGCCATCCACCTGTGGACACTTGTGAACATTAACACTGACTCTCAGGACAGACTTCGGCCCCTCAGCAGATGGGAACAATGGATTTCAGTCTCCAAACCCAGAAAGGCAAAGTGACCAGGTTTCGGGCATGTCAGCTCCCTGGGAGCAATCTAATGTTCACCATCTTCCCTTTCAAGCCACTTTCTGGTCTGGCCTGAAAACTGTGAGGCCTTTATCCCACACCACTCAAAGCTCTTAAGTGGGCTTTTCAAATCTTTCATTTCCCAAAGAGAAAGGAGCTACTGACCAATTGGACAGGATTTCCATCCTTCCCATCTGCGGACTCTCTGTCTCTGTCTCCTTGTCTCACACACAGGGCAGGGGCAGTCTGAAAAAGTTTTAGGACTCAAGATACTTTTTGAGAGATAATATTTACAGGCCCCAAAGCCAGCACTTCCCTTCTTATTTCCCAGCCAGTTTTATATTCATGCTATTTCTGTGAATAAAAAAATATTCTAAAATGGAAGATTTTGCTAGGTGCCACCAAGAACTAGATGCTGCCCTTCCCTCGGTCTGTCCGTGAGTGAATGCGACAGGCACTACAGTTACTCCATAAAGAATGGAGAGAGAGAGTGAGTGATCTGCCCTTGCTGTCTATGAGACAGGGAATGAAGCTCTCAGAGGTTGGTGAACCTCTGCTACTAAATTCACTCTTCTCCATCAATCCAAAAACGTAACTAAGACTTACTAAACGCCTAGTTTGATCCCTCCCCACCAAGACAGCCTTAGATGTCCTAGAAGAACTCCAGCTGGCCACAAATTCAGCAATCCTTCTGACTCTGCCTCCCAAATGCTGGAATCAAAGGCAAAGCACCTCCACCACAGGGCTCCTAATTTGACTTAAAAAGAAATCTAAGAGGAGTGGGCTGGAGAGATGGTTCAGCGGTTAAGAGCACTTGTTTATTCTTTAAGAAGTCACAGGCTCAATTCCCAGCACCCACATAGAGGCTGACATCTCCCTGTAACTCCAGTTGCAGGGAATCTGACACCTCCGGCTTCTAAGAACACCTGTACACACACACACACACACACACACACACACACACACACACACACACACACACGCGCGCGCAAACACATACACAGAGACAAAATCAATCTCTCTCCTTCTCTCTCAGGAGTTAATGGTTAAAACACAGATTTTTCTTCCATACATTCAGAGAAGGCTGGCTTACACATTAAGTAAGCCAGTGATATCACCATGCTCCTTGCAAGGTGCATATCCACTAGGTCAGAGGCAAGGCTGCTCAGCGGAGGGAGAGTGCACACTCCATACAAAGGCACTTACCCTTCTTCTGTATAAAAATCCTGAGCAGTGGATTGGCGGTGGAAACCGCCTTGTGATAGTTGTCGTCATTGTTTATGGGCAGTAGGTCCCCGTGGATGTCTGCGTAGCCCACCAGCACGTCAACGTTGGGGATCTTGTGAACATGTTGCAGCAGTCCATAAAACTCCTCAAATTTTCCAGGTTTGGATCTTTCCAGTGAAAACCGACGAAACTCAGCTCCAAACTACAAATATAATAAGCACATTTAAAAAACGGAAACTTAGCCAGGCATGGTGGTACATGCCTTTAGTCTCACTTGGGAGACAGAGGCAGGAGGGTTTCTGTGAATCTGAGGGCACAGAAACAGGCCTGCTGTAACCCTCCCTGCCAGAAGCAAAGGACAGAAAAGCACAGGAATGTGGCTGCTGCTCCCCAGGGCGCCCCTGCCAACAGCTACTGCCTCAAAACCCCATGCCCAGGTCTCCTGGGACAATTTGGCTCCAACTATACCTGGAGCCCAGGCCAGGGCACCAGAGGCTTTGACAGACCAAATTCCTACCACTGCATCGAACCCTCTGTAAGGGGATTATCTTTTCACAGGCTGCAAGAGTGAGACCCAGTGTAGCAAAAGGACTTAGAGCTTCTTGGCATGAAATAATGTCATCATGTAAGAAATAGGTTAAAGACAGAAAAGAAGCATGTTCTTCAAGTTAGTGTAAAAGAGAAGCTTATTAACCAACACATCAGCTTTAAACCCTGCTCCATCTGGCTAAGGAGAACGTCTGTCTGTCTGTGTGCTGGGCTGCAGGAACCAGGAGGCTGGCCTGCTTCAAAAGCTAGGCGATTAGTAGACGAGGAGAATAATCGCCTCAGGGAGGCTGGAGATCACAGACCAAGCAGGAAGCACCCTGTCATCCCTCCATTTACCTTGCAGGTCCCCTAAGGCCACACATTAAAGTACCTCCTGAGTCCCTGTGGGACTGGAATGGTGTGCTCTCAAATGGGGAGTCTAAGAAAGGTTCTTCAGGCTTCTTCAAAAACTGTCCCATCACTTAACTTTAAGCCTCTCTTTAGGAGCTACTGGATATTTGGCATATTAAATGTTTCCTTAAATGCCAGGGGCGGGGCTGGAGAGATGGCTCAGCAGTTAAGACCTCTTAGCTTGCTCTTGCAGAGGACCTGGGTTCAGGTCCCAGCATCCTCACAGCAGCTCACAGCTGTCTCTGACTTCAGTTCCAGGGCAAGGGCACCAGGAACAGCTGTGGTACATATACATGCACGCACTTATATACAGTTAATGGGAGGGGGGTGAGAGGGGACTTTTGGCTCATGGTGGGGCAGGGGGGGTTAAATCCTACTTTTTAACTTCAGGCTGGAAACATAAGTAGCTCAGTGGTAGAGTATGAACTTAGCATGCTCAAGGCTCTCTGTCCAGTAACCCCCCCACACACAGTGTAAACATTCACCAAACACGTTTGACCGCTAGGCTTGTTTCTGTCTAAATTCCTAAGATAGCCAGGAAACATAAATGCTGCAGAGAACAGCAGGTGCCAGGCAGAGAAAGGCCCTCATCCCAACAGGCATTCACGACCAACACCGACCCAGAGCCCCAGCCATCCAGTCTTTCCGCTTCCTACGGCTGACCCTCCTCTTGCATGCATTTATTCACTACCCATGGTTTGACATTAAAATAAAATTCACTAGTCACCTCTTACTCCTAACAAATTCAAAGTTTCCAAAACACATTCCTGAGATGTAAACACTAACATTTGTCAAAAAAAAAAAAAAAAAAAAAAAATCAGGTGACTCATATCTAAAGCTCTCAAAAAGTTAGTCACACCTACACATTTCAGAGTAAATAAAGCCCAGGGAACACCCTGCCTATCAGTCTTACGATGTTATCAAAGGCAGTTTCTCCCTGGTTTTCTGGAGGCTGCTCTCCAGCACAGCCACAGTCCACAAGGCAGGCTGACTCACCCAGGCTATCACCTCCCCTGCAGTCGGACTGGGAATACACCTAATGATTTAACCCTTTAGGTTCCCCCAAAACTTCTGCATGCTGTCACCTCTTTCTCTGGCTTAAATACTTAGATTATAAACAGCAGGTGCCCATGCCAGCCAACATTGGCAGGGAGAGGGATGGAGGTGGGAACAGGTTACCTCTTGCAGCAAAGTAGGATCGTAAGAACTCCTTAGGACATGAAGAGAAATTATATTGAGATCAAATTAACCCAATCAACAATGCAGCATATGATGGGGTAGGGGGAGCGAGGTTGGACCAGTGTGCCTGGAATCCAGATGTACATGGAGTTGTTTCCTAGAACTCAGTTTTTTTTGGAGAGAAGGGAAATGAAGAAGCCATCTCTCCATCCCTAATTTTGCTTGTTTAGCTAGACCTCTCTGTGTAGCTTTAGCTGGTCTTGAACTTGCTGTGAGAGCTCAAATTATGAAGTGCTTTTAAAAGTGCTTTTAATACTCCATTTGCCCATGCACAGCAATTAGGAAGTTGCATGTCTAAGGCTGCTCCAAGGCTGCTTGGGGCAACTGTCTTGGCCATGCTGGAGATAAACCAATCCCACAGTTTGCCAGTCAAGCTCTAGTGCAAAAGCTACAGCCCCCGCCCTCAGGACCAAGGTGACCTAAGGATATCACTGTGATTAGAGAACTATCCCAGTTCTGGAGAAACAATCAAGAAGATAAATCAGTTACCAAAGGAATCACCCAGTTGCTGGCATCACACTTTTAACTAGATCTATATTTACACCATCCATTATTTCTATTATCTGAACCATGGCTCTTTCCAGAGTAAAGTTGATAAAGTTGACACTACTGTTTCTTTTTCTTTTTCAAGACAGACAGGGTTTCTCTGTGTAGCCCTGGCAGTCCTGGAACTAGTTCTATAGGCCAGGCTGGTCTGCCTGCCTCTGCTTTCTGAGTGCTAGGATTAAAGGAGTGAGCCACCACCGCCTGGCGGACACTATTATTTCTGTGAAGAAGGCTCCAAGTCATGACCTGCATACTGTCCAGTTTTGGTTATGATCTCTTAATTGTGATATTATGAAATGGATATTGGACTAGCAAAATGACAACCTGAATTCAACACGGTGGTGAGAATCCAATCCTGAATACGTCCTCTGACCTCTACACTCACATTATGGTACTGATGAATCCCCATACACTCATGCACACAAGTAAATGATAATAAAATTTTCAAGAATTTTTACCACTCACATAGCATAAAATGTAATTATTTTTTTCAAACCTTAGCTAAACTAGGTCTAGTGGCACACATCTTTACTCCCAGCAGAGGCAGGAGGATGTCTGTGAGTTTCAGGCCAGCCTGGTCCACAGTGAGTTCCAGGACAGGCTCCAAGGCAATACAGAGAAACCCTGTCTGGAAAAACCAAAAAATAAAATAAAGGTAAAAATAAAGAAATAAAACCCAGCACTAATGAGGCAGAGGCAATGGGATCTCTGAGTTCAAGGTCACTCTGGTCTGCAGAGCGAGTTCCAGAATAGCCAGGGCTACACAGAGAAACCCTGCCTTTCTTTCATTCATTCATTCTTTTTTTTTTTTTTTTTTTTTTTTTTAATGCAGATTGGAGTTCTGCCATGGTATCAGGTCCCCTGGAACTGGAATTACACACAGCTATGAGCTGCCATGTGGTTGCTGGGAATTGAACCCAGGTCCTCTGGAAGAGCAGTCAGTGCTCTTAACCACTGAGCCATCTCCAGAGCCCCCGCCCCAGATACCTTGTCTTAAAAAAACAAGAAACAACAAATGTAAGAGCCTCAGACCTATGCTTTTGTTTACTGACAGGTGGGACAGCAGGACCGAATTTCACAGAGTGTATGCCTGACTGCCCTGTTACCCTCTAGAACAGGATACTTGCTAGAAGTGCTGGGTGGCAGCTGAAATACACACCACATACTTTGGACAGAACTATGTCAAATATTCAAAAATCAGTAGATACAAAAGACAAACAAAAAGCCTGAAATTCCAGTCTCCAAAAACTCAGTTTCCTACCACCAGAGACCCAATCCTACCTGATTTACTGGCACACCTAGGATCTCTATTCATTTTTTCCTACGATAAAAAAATTAAAGACTCACTACCAACATCAGACCATAAAACTGAGTGTTAGCATTATGCAATATCACAAGTGGTTTTCTTTTCTGACCTCAAGTCCCACAAGCAAAACTACAAAAAAAAAAAAAAAAAAAAGGCCAGGTGACAGTACATGTACTAGGCCTGAAACAGACGGCCACAACATGGCTAGAGAAAAGATGTACATTTCTGGAGTCACTGTAACCCTCCCATTCAAACAAGTCACTTCAATTTGCTACTATGCCATGGAGAGCCCAGGTCAGGAAGACTATACTCCTTAAACTACCATACGGTTTTCTTTTTCTAGACCAGGCTGGCCTCAAACTCAAGAGATCTACCTGCCCCTGCCTCCCAAGTGCTGGGACTAAAGGTGTGCACCACCGCGCCAAGCTCAGTTTTACTCTAAAACAACAACAAACTTTTAAAAACTTGTGTGTGCATGTGGCCTCCGTGTATGTATGCCATGCACAGGTGTCCTGGGAAGACAGAGTACCAGATCTCCAGGACCTAGTGAGAAAAGGATAGGTGGTTACAAACATGGGCTGTTTGTTCTTCCTACGGTTCTGGATTTGGTTCCCAGAACCCACACATAGCTCACAGTTAAAACTGCAGATCTGACTCCTCTGGCTCCCTTGAGCACCTGGCATGCAGGTGGTATACATACATACATGCAGGCACGTATGTACATAAAATAGTAAATTTTTTTAAAGGTACAGGTTCTGGGCTGGAGAGATGGCTCAGTGGTTAAGAGCACTGGCTGCTCTTCCAAAGAACCTGGGTTCAATTCCCATTACCCACATGGCAGCTCAAGTTCCAGTGGATCTGACTCCCTCACACAGACATACACATAGGCCAAATGCCAACACACGTAAAAATTAAACAAAATAATTACTTTAAAAAATTAAAAACAAATTTGCAGGCACTTTTTGCTTGACAGGGTTGAGAACTGAACCTGGGTCTCCTGCAAAAGCAGTGCACACTCAATGCTACCTTTCCAGCGCCAACAGCCCTATCATTATTAAACAGATCTGTGTTTCAATCTAGTGTCTGTTCTGGCATTAAGTCCCTCCTTTATTGAGACTGGATCTCACTGTATAGGCCAGGCTGGCCTGGAACTCTTTCAGCTTCACTAGTCTGGCTACACAGCGAGTTACAGATTAATCTAAGTCAAAGAAGATTTAAAAAAAAAAAAAAAAGCTATTAAAAGCATTGCTCTCAAGCCCAGACACCAACATACCTCAACCAAAGGCTCCAACACCTTTCCTTACTTCACTCAAACCACTCCTGGGACCGACATTCCCCCAGGGGTCCCTTAACCACCACCCACCCCATGGGTGTGCACTAGACGGCTCCTGTGTGTCTAACCTCAATTCTATTCTAAATCCTCGGGGTCAGTAATGCCCACTGACCACTGTTCTACAAGTCGTTCGGCAAAAAGCCATCCGGCAAGACTAGGTCCTAGAGCAGAGCTAGGGGGAAGTCACACCCTTTAGAATCTTTCACCTCCTTATCTCAGAATTCTCAAAGAACCAGGCTGCATTACCCCAGCTCCTTCTGGCCTTTCAAAGTCAGAAGAAGCTTGCGGACATGGTACGGTGGCTGCAGATCACCTTCAAATTCCATCTGAAAAGCCCCCTGGAGAAGAACGCATTCCCTAGCTAATCCCCACAGGCTACTCTGCTGTTCACCGGGCCTTGAGATTGAGGAATTCCTCGGACACTGAAGTCACTATCAGCAGACTGGCACACCCGCCGAGGGGGAAAGTACTCGACGTGAAGGGTCAGAATGAAAAGAGCCACAGCGTCAAGCGCTGCTTCAGAGTAAGGTGATAGTGCTAATTTCATAGATTGAACGCATACCAAAGTTAGAGCTGGAAAAAGAGGCTCGCCTCCATCCGACGTGCCCCTGAACCCCAGGGAAGGGTGACGTGAGGAGAAACAAGGTGCTCCGAAAGCCTTTGACTCATGCCCAAGGAGAAGGGCTTCCCCCAAGCTATCGCATCACCTAGCCTTTGAGCGGTCCCTATCCCACCCTTAATAACAAGGCGGGAACGCGGATGGAAAACAGAGGCTGTGATGCGGAACACACGCCAGCGCTCCCCGCCGCCGCTCTCCAAGTTTGTCTTCTACGTGCTACGTCCAGCAGATCGCCCTCTGCCCGCGTCCGCACCGGGGCAGCCCGGGTCCACCATCCCGCCACCCCGCGTCCCCGCCGCCCCGCCCGGCCGCGCACCTTGCTCTTCACCTCCATGGTGCCCAGGCAGCAGCTGCTCACCCCGTGCCGGTGGCCGCGGTTCATGCTGAGCGCGGGGCCGGCGGCCGCCTCGTCGGGGGCCGGCCCTCGGGAGCGCGGGCCGCGGGGCCGCGGGGCGCGGGCTCGGGAGTCGGAGCGCCGCGCGGCGCCTGGTCACCGCACCTGCCGAGGTCCGCGCTGCGCTGTGCCGAGTGCTCCGGGACCGCCCGAGGGTCGGACTGGCAATGCGGCAGGCGGGGACACAGGTCCCTCCCAGGGAGGTTCGGGGGCGGCGGCGGCCGCCGGGAGCAGAGAGGGCGGAGCACAGCCCCACAGCCGCCGCAGCCCGGCTCCCCGGCTGCCTCCCCCGCGGGCGGGCGCGCGCGCGTGCCCCAGCGCTCGTGCACGCAAGCACGGCTGCGGCCGCGGCACGTGCGCGCGCTCACCTGCAGCCTCCGAGCGGCCTCGGCGGCTCGCGCTCCGCCCACACCCAATAGGAAGCGCGCACCTGCGCCCGCCGCGCCAGCCAATCGGCGCGCTGCCTGCGCGGCTCGCGCGGCGCGTGGGCGGGCCTCGGGGCCCGAAATCCCCACCCACCGCCTCGCGATTGGTCCTGCGTTGCGAGGGTGGGGCGGGATCACCTGAGACTGTGAGGCCTCTCTGTATTGAGCCGGGGAGCGGTAGGACGCATGCGCCGGCTGCGGAGTTTCCGCCCCGAGGAGGCAATCGGGGAAGGCAGGCCGGAAGCGCGAGCGCACCTGGACAGCGGCTCAGGAGGGTGTGTTTTTGCGCATGCGCGGGGGCTCCCCTGGCTGCTGTGGGTCCCGAGCTCGCTGATCACCGGCCGAGTCCTGGGATGGGCACTGCGGGCGGCTCCGTTGACGCGGTGGCCTGAAGCGGCTGGGCTCCCGCCTCCCTCTTCGGCCTCAGCCGCCGTGCTGCGGCTTTGAGGCGCCCACTGCGAGTCTAGGTGGCAAGATTCAAGTTTTCCCGCCTCTGCGGCCGTCACTAGCGGGGAAAGCTCGAGGCTCGAGGCCTGGTTCCATCCCAGAAGGCTTTAACCCTCATCTAGATCGGCGGTTCTCATCCTGCGGGTCGCGACCTCTTTGGGAGTGACGACCCTTTCATAGGGTACCATCAGGAAACATACTTAACGATTCATAAGAGTAGCGAAATTACGGTTATGAAGTAGCAGCGAAGTAATTTCATGGTTGGGGGTCAGCACAACAGGAGGAATCTGTGATAGGGTCGCAGCATCGGGAAGGTAGAGAACTACTGGTCCTAGATCTTTCCTGTCCCCGGGGTGCCCTGGGCACCGGGAGAGGACCAGAGATGATCCATCCCTGCAGGCCCTGGCTCCCTGCGAGTCTCAGCATCCGCCCTCTCGAGACTGACGTCTTCTCTCCACGGAGCCATTTCTTGGCCCTTTGCTGTTTGTACCAACGCCAGCCTTTGGGTTGTGTTCTGTTCCCCCAGTGACCCAGCTGTGTCCCGGGTAACAACACCAAATCCTACTCTCTGAGCGCCCCACACTAGGGCTCCCGCCTCTTTTTTTGTTTATCTGTTAGCCTTGCTGAGGCTAGGATTAAAGTAAAGGTCAAGATATCCTCTATATCCCGCACCCAGAGAGGGCTCAACTGAAACGCGTTCACATTGTTATTCTCCTGGTGTGCTCTAGATGAGGAGCCCCTTCCCCTTAAAGCAGCTCACCAGATGTTAATGGGTGGCTCTAAGGTTTCCCTGGCCATTTGGAGGCGAAGCACTAGACAGACTGTCCCAAGCTGAATCACTAGGCTGCGCTCCCCACCAGTACCTGAGTGATTGGAGCCCTGGTGGTGATAACCTGGTTGTGAGGGGCAGCCACAGGCCTGGAACCCTGCTACCTGCGTTAGCTAGCAGTTGCAGCTTTTTGGGTCTCAAGACTCCTTTAACTAAACGTTATGACGAACCTCAATGCATATGCATTGTATTGGAATTAAAAGCGAAACCGGCCTAAAACAATACACAATGTAACATTTCAAGCAGTCAAAGATGATGTGATGTCATCATTTGTCATGTTCCTTCTGGAAAACTTCATCATTTGCTCCTGAGACCAGGAAGGTGAGAAGTAACACCTTAGAATCATGAGAACAAGTGTGACTTTGGGAAATCCCCTAGCCAGGACTCCAGGTGCCAGTGGACTGTGGAGTGTGCTAGGAAGCCTGTCCGCCTTTGTGGACCTCCAATCTCCGCTTGGTTCTGCCTGTGCCCTGAGCAGGGACACACCTATGAGAACCTTGTGGCCCCAGCTCCGTGTGAATGACGGCTGGGTGGCTGTTATCGGGATTGCTTTATCAGCGACTCTAAGGAGGAAGCTCACGGGTGCCAACGCACCTGCGCACCTGCGTGGGCCCTGCATTCCTGGAGCTGTCGTCACATCCGTCCTCCCATCCCTCCCCCCCACCCCCACCCCCCGGGTGTGGCATCCCTCTCAACCTGGACTTTCCTTTCTAGAAGGGAGGGCCAGGCCACAGCTTCCTGGATCTCTCAGGCAGATCTGCTGTGAGCCAGGGCTGTGTAAGGAAAGAATGTAGAAAATAGTTTGGGTTTGATAAGGTGTTGTGGGGGAGGGGAACCTTGTCAGTTTTACTTAAGATGCCTGAAGACCAGAGAAACAGTGTGGATTAGGTCTTAACCCCTGCCTCTCCAGTTTACAGGCTTACCCTAACCTCATCTCTCTCCTTTCCTTGCCCCCAGATCCTCAAGGTAGAGCTGATCCAGGCTGACATGAGGCAGCTTCGAGAATTAGTACTCAGTGGGTCAAGAGATAAGTACAGTGACTGACCCGGCTCCATAAATTACAGACTCCTGAGATCATGAGTCTGGAGCGGGTCATCAGAGCTCCACACCCACACTCAGCCATCCCAGTCCTGAGACAGAGGGCTCAGGCGACAGTTTCACTTTATCCCCTTCCTTTTATGTTAGAAGCAGTCAGCCTGGCTTGGTGGGTCAACATAGGGAATCCCAGCACTCAGAAGGGGGAGGCAGGTGGATTGCCTAAATCCAAGGTCAGTATGGTCTACAGAAATAAGGGCTGTGGCATACCCCTTTAATCCCAGCACTTAGGAGGCAGAGGCAGATGGATCTCTGTGAGTCTGAGGCCACTCTGGTCTACAAAGTGAGTTCGAGGCCAACCAGAGCTGTTACACAGAGAAACCCTGCCTCAAAACAACAAAAAGAAAGGAAGAGAGAGAGAAAGGATAGACCCAGTGTGGTAGTTTATGCCTTTACTCCCAGCATCTAACAGGCTGAAGCAGGTGTCTTGAGTTCAAGGCCAGCCTGGTCTACATACCAAGTTCCAGACCAGCCAGCAAGATCTGACACCATAAAGTCTGACAGCCTGAGCTCTATCCCCAGAACTCACAGAAACAGACTCCTACAAGTTGTCTTCTGACCTCCACACTGATGCTGTGGCATGGACACCCCCATGCACACACACACACACACACACACACACACACAAAATAAATGTAAATGCACACACACAACCAAAAAACAGTCTGGCCATGGCTTAGTTGGTCAAGTGCTTATGGAAACACAGGAAACTGCATTCCATCCCCAGAACTCATGTGGGGGGGAAAAATATCCTGCCGGCCATGGTGCTACAAGCTAGCAATCGCAGCACTAGAGAGGCAGAGGCAGGAGGATCCCTGCACCTTGCTCACTGACCAGCCAGCCTAGCCTATCTGGCAAGTTCCAGATCAAAAAAAAAAAAAAAGGAAGCAGACAGCACTTGAGGAATGACTGAGGCTGTCCTGTGACCTGGGCAGGCACACACACCCTGAGGCACCCGTGTGTGCACCTGCACGAACCAAAACTCCAAACGCTGTTCAGTTCTTTAGAAATCTGCTTTGTGTGACGGAAGCACTTTGTAAATTTCCATAATTATTTCTAAATTAACATTTGGCATAGTGATCTTCCTCCAACTCTTAGAGAAGGGGGAGGGGACATGAAAACCCGGAGGTGGCACTAAGTCACACACACAGAAGGTGGGTAAAAATGTCTCTACCCGCTCTTGCTCTTTGGCTGCTGGAGTTGCAGTCTTGATGGGGCTGGTTAATGATTTTTGAGATAGAGCTGAAGTGTATATTTATGAATCTCTGGCTACTCACCCAAGCATTTTAAGCCCTTTAGCCGAGGTGGAATTCTGTCACATGCTCCCTCTTCTGGTTAATGGCTTGTAATGCTTTACTGGTTGGGAGGGGGCCTAGGGGCCTGTGGCTAGAGAGTGAATATGTTGCTATTCTCTGTAGCTAGCTGCTGCTTTAGTTAAGAAAACTGCCTTTGCAGGAGGTATCTGGACCAGGTGGCATGCCTCTGTCTTGACCTTGTTGGCGTGGGTGGGTTTGCATTCTGGCCTTAAGCCTCTCAGGGACCCAGTTTCTCTATCTGTAAACTTGGGCTCAGGATGAGGTCATCTTTACTATCCCTCCAAACTCAACACCCTTTGGCTCCCTAGGGATCTCAGAGAGTGATCGGTGTTTCAGCATTACCAGCGAAGATTGGGATGGAAAGGCTAACCTTCCCATTGTGGTCCATGCTCAGGCTGCAATCATTGGCCAAGACACTTTCCAGGAGGAGCCGATGAAGACGATGATTGTATTAGCATTTATGTGAAACCTAACAGGTGCCAAGACCAGGCCTAAGTACCTTTCCATGGGTTAAATAATTTAATTGTAAATTGCAGGCAGTAATGTAGTGTTTGGAGGCAGTTACTGGCTTGTTTTCTAGGCTGGGTAGCATTGACCCATTGACCCTGTGCACTCAAGCACTGGGCACTCTTACCTCCTGTGAAATGGGATGATAGTGTCAGTGATGTGACTCTTACCTAGTTGTCACATTGTTCAGATGAGGAATCACACAAGACTGCTTTGCAAACCACCTAGTTTGGGGCAGAAATGCATGAATCTTACTGGCTAAAACAGTACCACCAACAGATCTGAGGTAAGTACCTAGAAATAAAATGGAAATGTGGCAAAACTCTGTTTTTGTTTTCAAAGGGGGCTACTCTGTGTGTGTGATCCTGTGTGTGTGTGATCCTGTGTGTGTGTGTGCACGCGCTCATGTCATATGCGCACACACATGAAGGCCAGAGGTTGACACCTGGTGTCTTCTATTATCACTCCCACCTTATTTCCTGAGACACAGTTCCTCACTGAACCTCGAGTTCATTGGTTTTCCTGGGCTGGACCACTCAGGGATCCTCCTGAAACTGCCTCCCCCA